CCCATATTACTGTAATAGTTTTCATTCTTCTCACTAAACTCTGCTATTTTTCTCAAATAAATGTCTTTCATATACTAATGATCTAATATCTATAAATATTAATATAATATTCATATTTCATTGCTCTGATTTTTAGATGGTTCCAATAAGTAATATTTTTATTATTAGAAATTGTGATTTCCTAGAAAATGAGTTTTCCCTCACAATGTCATTATCAAATCTATATTCCATTAAGAAGTGTTTCATATAAAGAAAGATGACATTTTGAACATAATCATGAATAGCTAGGTAATTTAAAGTAACTGTTCCATGTTTTTTTTTAGTATTTAAAAATTTTAGAATCCTAATTATCTATTCTTTTTAAGAAAGGAGAGAGAGCTATTATACAATTAGTTTCAATATAAATGCTCACAGTTGATGCATTATGCTTGTAAAAAACCAATTCTTTCATGCCTAGTAGAAGTGCATCTCTTTAGGGATCTTTCCACACATAAAGATCATTTAGAATTGATAGAGATTTATTTAAGTGTGACATTAGAACTGGAACTATTAGAATACATACATATCTTGAAGTATTTGTACATGGCTTTGGGAACTGCAACTCATAACTGTTTAATAGAATTTTAAGAATCTATCAGAATTGCAAACTCTTCATTTCATATAATTTTAAGACTTTGCACTATAGGCAAAGCAATTAAAATTTAACTCAGAAAACAAAGTACATAGAAAGCATTCTCAAAACAAATATTCTTTTTCTGGAAGGCCAAGTGCACCACTCTTTGTTAGCTAGAAATAAAATAATTCCTAATTGTTTAGGAATTAATTCTAATTCCTAAAACCAATAATCATATAATAAAATTTCATTATCTTAGCTGAGTTTGACTGTAAAAATAGGTAAACATGTGTCTATCCAAACATCATTTCTGAAAATTAAATGCCTCAATTCAGTGTGTGGTCATGTTTAATGGTAAATGAGTTGCATTTATCTATAGATTTAAGTCAAAAATACAGTTCTCCATGCAAATCAAACAACCAAACATTTTAATTTAATTTTGAGGCGGAATAAAATAAAGTGCTGGTTTCTTATATGTTTATTCAAGTCCTTGTGATTAACAATAGCACTGTTTACTCATTTTTAATTCTATAAGAACCTTTGCACTGAAAAATCTCCACATTTAACTGAAATCATTCAGGACAACAAAATGGCTAGGTGAAAGCTATTTGCCATCTGACCAGACAATTTAGTGTTTCCTCTAAGTATTCAAAACTATGTCACTGACCTCATTTAAAATTTATTTGTTCCCATAAAATAGATTTCCAAATTTGTTAATCAAACAAGGCATGATTTACAATGCTTGATGCTCATGTTGAGGATTTATTTTAAATATATTTTTAATAACACCAAAAATTCTGGAGGTAAAACTTAATACCATCCAATGCCTGTTGTCAAATATTAAAATAATTCCTTTTATCCCAAAAGGGGAAAGGCTATTTTATAGAAAACCTTATAACCAAGTGTAATAACACTTTAATAGTTTTATAATAAGAATGATGTACTCTCTTTTATAGTAAAATTTTTCTTGTTTGCACGTTACTTTTGCTCTACTTTCTTCCATTGTATACTATGACTAAAGAAATGTTAAAGACTAATTAAGACACAAAGACTAATAAAATGCAGTTTAAGAATCTATCTATTCCTGTATCTACCAGTAAATAATTAATGGATTAAGAGAGGTTTTTTTCTTTTTGTTTTCTTTTTGTTTTTCTTTTTCTTTTATAACTTCTTTGGACTTAGTTTATTCTTTTGAACATTAATTTAGAGACTCTTTAGTTTGCTAGGTTTTCATTTTAAGAACTATCTGGAGGAATCATTCTGGATGTAAAAAAAAAAAAAGATTATTTTACCCTGACTAGATCTGTCATCTTCATCATTGTCTGAGATTATATACTCCTAAGGGAAAGAACACAATCATTCTAAGTTGCTTTAACTATCACAGCATTCTATACACATAGGAACTTAATACATGATTTTTGAATAGATTGCTTTTCTCACTATTGTTACACATTTTTATTCATGATACTACCTTAGTATTTTATAATACAGTGTCTTTTGAAATTATGCCACTATAAAAAGCTTGCCACTAAACTTCACAAAACCAAAGTGAGTTTAATTGTAAAGTATTATAATAGATGGAAAGAAAGAAATAGGTATATGTTTTCTATTCAAGAAGTATAAATAGTTCTTGCTAATGCAGACACAATCCATATAAGTTAATTATCTCTAAGGGATCATTGTATAGTTTGATGGCCTGTTTAAACAAGGTGCAACACTGAAAATGTGATACTTTCCACAAAGAGTACTAAAATATTCCATATAATTCCAGCATTACTTAGAAAAACATTATCTTCTCTATATGCTCTAAATGACTATGTGAACATTATTTTATCATTGCTAAGGGATAGTTTTGCGATTATTCAAAAAGGAAAAAAGCTCCTAATATGATTGCTGACTGCCAACTGCTTTCATTACTTAATATCTCTTTATGACTCAGAATATTAAAAATGTAGACCTTCTGTGTGATGCACAATTGTGACCTAATGGCAGAATCATTATAATATTCATTAAATTCATTGCATTTACTATACATAATTTCCATAAAATTGTTACTTCTAAGAGTTAACAAAGTATATAGATTTTTTTCTATCCAATGTCAACAGTTTCGAGTATAATTTAGCTCCTTCACAGGTAACACTTTACTATTTTTCTATTGAGTGCTTTTATTGATGATACAAATTTCTGAATTGCAAAATTTTCTTTATCAGAACAATATACTGATCTACCTTGCCTTCTTTAGAAACATCAAATCATATCTCAAAACGTAGTATCATTTTTTTCCCTATGATAGGTATATGAAGCGGTATTCTAGACAAGATTCATATTTACTGATATTGCCAAGGATCATTATTCAGTCTTTGCTGTACTGTCATAAAAATAATATATTATTCATACTTTATTTTTATTGTTTTGGTTTCTAGCTCCACCATTTTATCATCAACAATATTTTTAATAAAAATTCCCACAAGCATCCATTTAATTATCTTACTGATGCTTGATAAATTGCATACCATTAAAATATTTTCTGCTCTTGCTACAAATTTCAATTACTTTTACTTAGTCAAATCCATGTATCTGCATAGTATAAGGGTGAGGGATTGGAGCTGGTAGATTAGACTGATTGTTTAATAAAACAAGTTAGTAAAATAGGTTCATAGAATTCATATTTTCATAGAATTTCAGTACTGGAACAGATCTTACAGTTGAATTCATTTCTGTAAACACCCTGATATGTCATACACTTAAGTTTTTATTTATGCTCTACTTTTTGTCCAGTTTCCCATCTCCTATTGCCCAAAATCCATATCCACTCCTCCTGGAGACTAGTTCAATTGCTACCACCTTCAAAAAGTCTTCTTGTTTCCCAAACGAGATTATATTCTCAACTCACTTAACATTTTATGTAGTCCCTTCTGTGATGTTTACCTCTTTCTATCTTGCATACATATTTGTAAATCAATATATGACAATATTAATACAACATAGGTATAAAATATAAATATAATTTCTTTCTTGATAAACCATAATATCTTCTCCTTGCCACCATGAATACACAAAATAGTCCCTATTACAGAATAATGTTTAGTGGAAAACATAAAGCCTTCACAGTCTGACATGGGTTTGATTACAGACTCAGCCACTTAGTTCTTAACTTCTTTGTATTTCAGTTTCTTCCTACAAACATAGAATAATAATGCTGCTTTCTTGTTGTCTTTGAATGGTGTCTCACCTTGTTTGTGACATATTTTTAAGGGGTTACCTATTTATGGAGTCATCCTGCCCCTTGTTATCCTGTCTTTTAATTGAAAATGGAAATGCAATTTAATTATATCTGAAGAGCATACTCGTATCTTGTCTTGAAGCTTCATCACCTGCAATCACTATTCATCACCTTCATCACTATTTCACATATATCATTTCACTTTACCAAAAATTACATAAATCTAATTTAATGTTTTAATATAAAATTATCATATGACAGGAAATTTACTATCCATATTTATATGGATTTTCGGGAATTTAAGTAATTTCCCTAATATCAGACCACTGACAGATGGAAGAGGCATAATTCGAAAGAGATCTTTTTACATCAAGTACATATCCTATTTCCTGCTTTTTTTTGAAAGTAATATATAAGTGTGCATATATATAACATTGAAGATAGATAATAGCTAGCTAGCTAGCTAGCTATATAGATAGAAAGATAGAAACAAAATACTGGTTTCAGTGCTGACTTAAATCCTATTGAGCTTTGATTCTTTGGTGATTTTCAAATACCAACCAATTAAGTTTTTCTCTTGTGATTATTTTTAAATAATAACCTGGCATACAACTTTTTAAATCCAGATCATCTTTATAACTCCCCTTTATAAAGCATAAATGGTCAATCTTAAGAAGTCTTCAAGCAATTTAAATATACATAAATTATTCCAAAGTACCTTAACATAAATACAATCTTCCTTTCTTACACTGATTATTGTTAACATATATGCAAAATCTATCTATTAATCTACCTTGATTCCCCTATAGTGTAAAAAAAAAGTCACAGTGTAAATAATTAAACAGTGAAGTACTACTCCTTCCCCCAAACCTTAGAAACAGCACTGTGGAATTCATGTTTTCAATGAGAATCAATGAGAACTGATATTCAGAGTTATCAAATATTTCCAGCTTTTCATGTTAGAATTACTGCATCCCTTAGCTTTTACATATATTTCAATACACTTCAGGACTTTGATTATCTTACTTACACCACTTCTCTTCTTAAAAAAAAAAAAAAAGCAAACCAAACAGCTTGTACTCTGAGATCAGGCAAACATACTGGATTGTGTAAATAAACAGGAAAATGAATGAAGAGGAATTAGAGAATGAAGATTATACTCACGGAATGTTCTATAAAATTCTTCAAGAGCCAGGTGCTTGTCAGAGTTAAAATCATCATATTTCAGTAGATCATACAAAGTACAATCAGAAAGATCCTTGCCAAGTTCTTCCTGTTTTATCACCTGACAAAGAAATTATAACCATACAATTATAACCATCTTAACGTTTCTATAGCATAATTAATCATACATAATAATCACTTAATAGATCATTTTAAGTCTACAGTAGGGCAAAGAACTGAACCTATGAAAAATCCTGACTTTCAGCTACTGGACAATTATTTTTAACCATTCCAAAGATATAAAGTTAAAAAGTTAAGACAGGTCCTTAGAATTTAGTCCAAACTTTCTAATACAAAAATCTCACAGTAGGACCCAGAAATCTGAGCTTGACAAGGACATTTTGTATTTCACTCATTTTCTTTGCTCCATTTATACTGACTCAAGGAAATGTCTCCACATGAAAATTGCCTCCTACATCTCAGTGACCTCTGTCAAAATAAAACAGGCTCTTTCTCAACAAAATAGTGAGATCGTTTGTTCCAACTTTCATCTTCAAATTATTTGTGAAAAATGAAGTTAGATGTTTTGTGTGGGTTTTTTTTCTTTTTCTCTGCCCAAACTCCTCCTCAGCTGGAAGTTAAGCCATTTGGGATTGTGCATTAACTTCCTTGGTCACAAAAGAGCTATTAAGCAAATAACTGTTTCCAGGAGCCAGAGAGAATTAATGCACCAGTTGATGATGAAAATCCATCCAAGTGTGGGTGAGAAAAATCATCAAACTGTTTTTCTACTCTGTGCTCTGTCCTATGGACTGAGCGGTAGCTTTTTTATACTCTACTGATTCGACTATTGTGCCTTATATAAAAGAGCCTCCCCAAGATTTTTCAAACATTCCTATCCATCTGGGAGGCTACATATCTATGTGGATAGCTTTTCAAATTCTCCCACATACAGAGGCAGTGTTTCACATTGTTTACAGCTGTGCATTATAATTGTGTTTTTAATCTTCTTTTATGTTTTATTTATTTTGAGAGAGAGAGAGAGACAGCACACACACTCAAGTGGAGGAGGGGCAGACAGGGAGAGAGAAAGAATCCCAAGTAGACTCCTCACTGTCAGCTTATAGCCTGATGCGGGGCTAGAACTCAAGAACCGTAAGAATGATTTGAGCCAAAGTTAGTTGCTTAACCAACTCAGCCACCCAGGTGCCCCTAGTGTGTGTGTGTGTGTGTGTGTGTGTGTGTGTGTGTTAGAGGTGGTGCCATGTAATTAGAAAATGCAGGCTCTGAAGTCAACCAACTCTGGGTTCTGTTCTGTCAATGGCACTTAATATGGTTCTATAATTTCTGGCAAATTATTTAACTATTCCTCAGATAAGAATTGAAGATAGTAACATTTAACTCTCCTGGCTATTGTTAAGATCATATTTATACACACACACACACACACACACACACACACATAAACATGTGCACCAACACACACATACAATTAGATGTAAGACTACATATAACGCATAGTCAAAAGTAATCATTTAAAGTTAAAAATAATGGGTTTTTCAATATAATGTGCTTCTTATTCAAATAATTCACTGCAGATTTCAACACCAGCTTGCACAAGCTTGTTCACAAAGTGAATCCAGACTTTGTTATATCAATAGTAGATCAGTGATACTAATTTCAAAAGATTCTCAGATGCTATCATCCATTTTTTTTTTTTCCAAACAACCCTTCAGGGAACACTTCTATGTTAAAAGTTCAGTTATGCCTGAGTGTGGATGAGCTGGAGAGGTAGGTCTGAAGATGGAGATTAGCATATGGGTCACTAGAGCCTCCAGCCCCCTTCTGTAGCCACCTGAGTGGCTTAGCAATGATGACACATAGACATTGCTAAATATAACTTCTATAATATACTGGATTCTCTATTCCTTTGTAATATATTCACATTTCATTGGTTAAGTTGATGTTTGCTGCCTTGGAGGGGGAAAAAGGCAAAACATTTATCTGCTTTAATTGATCCATATAAATAGATATTGTTGAGAGCAAGTATTAAGCCCTACACTTTTCTGTAGTCCAGCTGGAGGGATTAACAAAACTACCTAATGGCTGAAGCCATCTCTCCTATAAGCCTACTGAGAAAACTAATACTGCTTTTCTATTTAGAAAGCAACAGAGCTCTCCGTCATTCTCCATCTGTTATTTGTTAGATCATGGAAAATGACTTTCCCCGGGTGGTAGTAGGGGGACAGCATATTTCATCTTACCTCACTATGCTCTTCATAAAGATCTGCAATGCTAGGATGATGGTAATTTTAAGGATGCAGTGACACCAGGGCCAGGTGTGTTCAGGTATTTTAATATACTTTAGTAATTTTTATTCTCATACATGTTCATAAAGAGAAGGAAATGGAAAAGCCTGGAGAAAAATTGTCATCATTTTATGTCTTATATTTTCTATTTTAACAGTTGACTCAGATTAAATCATGTCTCATTAGACAAGAAGAATGAACTTCTACCTTTTTCCTGAATGCTGGTGTAAGACTAGCTTGATCTTGATTTGATCTTGATCTTGTTTTGATCATGATTATACACCTTAAGCTGGATATGCTGTTTTAACAAGTGTGTCCCAGAGAAACAAATGGGTCTGGCTAGGAACTTTTCTAAACAAACAAACAAACAACACACACACAAACAAAAAAACCCTCTTCACCTATACTGGACCATGTCCATATATAGGAGAGAGGTGATTCTTCTCTTATCAACAATATTTCAAGTATACATTTTCTTCTTTTATTCCATTTTTTGGTTAATAAAGCAGCCTACTTAAAAACATACTTCCTAGTAACTTCTTCTTCCCTTTAGGGTTCCTGATGGGAGCTCTGTAGTCTGGGGTAATCCAAATAAAGAGGGTACTTTCCTAAGACCTATTAAGCAGCATGGAGAAATTGCTATAGATAACTAGAGCTTTGATAAGGTTTCACAGTCTGCAAGAAGGTATGATAGAGGGGCACCTGGGTGGCTCAGTCAGCTAAGTATCCAACTCTTGATTTCAGCTCAGGTCATGATCTCATCGTTCATGAGTTCAAGCCCCAAGGGACTCTGTGCTGAGAGTGAGGAGCCTTCATGGGACTCTCTCTCTTTTCCTCTCCTCTACCTCTAAATAAATAAATAAATAACTTAAAAAAGAAAATATTATAGAAAATAAGCAGATTTCCTTCCCAAGTCTACAGTAATACATTAAGCACTCTTAGGAACAGAAGATCCAAACTTGTAGGGTTTTCATAGTTGCTTGCATTTCTTTTGCTTATTTCTAGCATTGGTTTCCAAGACTTCCCAGTCTAGACTCCTCAAAACACTCATGTTATTTCTGAACTAGAGACCATGACAGAGACAGACTCACAACTGTTATCAAAGTATCCTAGGATGAAGCTTTAGGCAAGTAGGTGACTCATAATGTTATATTTGTTATTTATTATAAAATAACGAGTATATTTCCCAAATTTACCAGTGTTTTGGTGAACTCTCTAAGGCTAAAAATAATAATTAAAATAAAGTTTCTCTCTCTTTTAATGATCAAAAATCAAGTTACATGAATCTTGTGCTCCACAGAGATTAGAGTCAGTGTGACAAAATACAAGTATTAACAGAATTCATGTCATTCAGGGAACTCAGATATACAGTATTCCAGAGGGGTACATATTTAATTTCAAAGTAATAGAACTGTCAAAGTTGCATGAGGAATTATAACTCAGAGATGATTCAATGTTTTGATACTGTATTCTTTTTTTTTTTGTCCCCAAACAGAAACAAAACAAAACTTCTCCAAAGTAAACTATTCTCCTTCTTATTCTGCTTCTTTGCTTTATTCAGGTATCCATTCAACAAATCATTTTTGAATATCTACTGTGTTGCAGACACTTTCCTAGACTCTGAAAAGCCAACGAGATAGACAAAAACCATCCCATGTGGAATTTATATGCTAGTAGAAGGGAACAAATAAATATATAAGTAAAATATATACTATGTCAGACATTAAGTTATTTAAGGACAAATAAAACTGGAAATAAAAAAGGAAAATGCCAGAGGTGGGTGTAGAGGATTGTTTCCCTGCTATGAACATATATATATAATGAAAGAGATATAATACATTGGTAATTTTGCTGGTCTCAAGTCAGATCATGGTGATGAGGATACGGATATGATGGTATAGGAGGAAAATGAAGTAGAATCTTCCAGTTCTGTGTCTTTTTCTTTATTCTCTTTGGTGGGCATAAGGAAAATCAGCAACTATAAACTCATGGAAAGATTAACCACTCAAAATTCCAAGAGTTCATTAGAGGATGAACTCTTCCTCATCCTTTGCAAACTATGTTTCCTGAAACTAATCATGACCATTTCACAATTACAGTGATTTAGTAGATCAGAGTTCAGTGCTCCTTCATTTTAAAGAGAGTACATCACATTTGTGCAGTTGAGAAGAAGAAGATATATTCACTCTTTACTTGGCAAATGTGTAGATTACAACAAAGCCTAAAGGTCAGGAAATAAATATACTTTGTTAGAAATGCATATCTTTAGGTATTATCTTTAAGCCTCTCCCATATACTCACTATGGGTTGGCCTCTCTACTACTTAGTTCTCTGAATATCTCCTTGTTAACTTCCTTCCTTCTTCTCTCCTTCTCTCCCTTCCCCCTTCCTTTTTCTTTTTTCTTTTCAACAACCAACATATGCCAAAAAATGTGCTAGGGTTTTGGAGATACACTAGTAAATAAGATTGACATAGTCTTTGTCTTCATAGAGTTAATTTTCTAGAGAGAATGAGTGGGAACAAGTAATAAATGATTAAATAAACAAGATAATTACAGATTGTCAGCAGTGCTCTAAAAATAAACAAGGTGAAAGGACAGAGAGCAAACAACTAATGTTACAAATTATAATTGTTTAATCATATATAACTGATGCTATCTAACAACAGGTGTATTAGAAGAAAAGGATCACATTAAAATTAATTACATCTTTTAAAGTCTCTTTAGGTTTCCTAACATCCCTAACACATTAGGAAACATTAAAAAAAATCAATAGGGCCAACATGAATTCTTTTGAAAAATTCACTGAAGAG